AATTAATCGGAGAAGAACTTGGTAAAGAGAGTCAAAATGATTTTGTGGCTTCTTGGACAAACTTTGAGAAAGAAAGGAGAACTAATATGATGGAGATGAGAAATTCGTCACCGTACTTTAAAAAAAAAAAAAATTGTTAGTGGATCTCTCCTTAACCCTTTTCACTTTTAATACCTTTCTCAAAGCCTTTATGAATCTTTTCTTTAGCCCTATTTACTTCTCTACCTCATTCTGGTATCAAAGCCCATAGCTTCATTCCTTTGGCTCTCACTTTACCACAATGAAGAGTGGTGGAAAAGAAGTTTGCAGCAATGGCGGTTTACATGTTTGGCACTGAGTTAGTCATTCAATTTGATTTTTATGATGAAAGTGTGCCAAACAAGTTCACTATTTCTGCAGTTGCTAATAAAACAGGAAATGTCTATTCCTTTAGAGACCTACAACTGGATAGTCCTCTCTACCTTAGGAAATCTCAAATGGGAAGGTGTTGCCTTTCTAATAGATGAAATCGTTCAATGGGGAATGATATTTTCAGATTTTAATAGGAAGAGTATATACTATAAATTAATATACATCGAAGAAGGACACTTTGCAAACTGGTATTGCCCTAGTTTCAAAACCATTTGCAAAAAATTACCCCCTGAAAATATGAAGATTTGTTAAAATTTATCATTCTCCTTCCAAAGCAAAACAAGAGATCATAGCCTGGGTACACAAAGGTATAGATGTCGTTAGCCTTAGAAGATGATCAAATTCTGATGTCATTAGATAGGCAACTATGTTATTACAAGGAAAAGCTGGCTACTGGTGGAGTCATCTTGATGACATAGGAAGAATACCAATATTGTCACAGGATTTACAAAATTGGGATCTAAATTAATCTCAAAATTTGTCTTGGAATCACGAATGCAGTATGCCACAGATTTTTTTTTATTGGAAAAAAGAAAACTCCAAAGTATTGATGATTTTAAAGAAATTTTCAAATGCTACAGTAATGACTTCTACACGCTGAGATTACATAATAATGAAACTTGCAATGCATACTATCATGCATCCCTTCCAGGTAATATTCTAGAACTTGTTCTTGGAATACTTTCAATGAAGAACATAGCAGTACAAAACATGGTAATGGCTAATGTGGTGGGATATGGCAGAGGACAAATTAAAAAGTTGTATTACATAGATTGCACCAAAACAGTACATAAAAGCAGGATCTAAGGTATGCAATACAATTGAAGGAGTAGAAGAGTAACGATATCCCTAAATTCAAGAAAATCCATAAAAGAAGAAATTTCAAACCCTACAAGTTTTACACAAGAAATAAAAGGATAATGCTGAGTGCTAGAGGACCATGTTATACTTGTCAATAAAAAAAACCTTGCTTTTTTCAAAAAACAAGAAGAATACCTTGCTGCACAATGTCCACGAAAAGCTTCAAAGCAGAATAGAGGACTATTTGTAAAATCTGATATTCAAGAGGACTAGTCCATAATAGAGACAGTTGAGCAACTTGAAGTATTTCATGAAGAAAATGTTTTTATCATTGAAGAAATTGTTTAGCTATAACTCGAGCCCATGGTTTTTGCAAGCTGATTTACTTTGTTCAAGTGGGTTTGCTTTTTATAAGTGGTTTTGCTATTTGTTTTTTGAGATAATAAAAGAATGTGTGGCGAGTGTATGTAATAATGGCTTTGTAATTGGCTTAGTACCTGTTGCTTTTAGGTAGATGTACTTGATGTACTAAGGTACTGTATGATGTACTAAGGTCCTGTGTGGGTTTAGGGGTATTACTTTTCATAATGGTAACAGAAACCACACAACCTTATCACTTTTCGTAATGGTAATAGAAACCACACAATACTTTAGTACATCATGTACATCCATATGTCACTTATTTGTACATCTACTTAAAAGTAACAAGTACTAATACAAAGCCATTATTACATACATTTGTTATTCATTCTTTCATTCTCTCAAGAAGCAAATAGCAAAACTACTTATAAAAAGCAAATCCACTTGAAAAAAGTAAATAAGCTTGCAAAAAGCTTGGGCTCGAGTTACAGCTGGACAATTTCCACCTTGCTCAGCTGTCTCTATCATGGTCTAGTCCTCTTGAATCTCAGATTTTGCAAATAGTGTTCTGATATGCTTTGGGCCTTTTTGTGGACAATGTGCAGCAAGGTGTCCTTGTTGACATGCATAACAGGGTCCTTTAACTCTTGGTTTTATCTTTTTGTTTCTTGTGTAAAACTTGTAGGGTTTGAAATTTCAATTTTTATGGATTTTCTTGAATTTAGGGATGTATTCTTCTGATCCTTCAATGGCGTTGTATACCTTAGATCTTGTTTTTATGTATGTTTTAGTGTCATCTTTGTAACGCAACTTTTTAATTTCTCCTCTGGCATATCCCACTACATCAATCATTATCAGGTTTTGTACTGTTATGTTCTTCATTGAAAGTGTTTCAAGAACAAGTTCTGGAATATTACTTGGAATATTATGTAATCTCAGCCTGTAGCAGTCATTACTGTAGCTTTTTAAGTATTCTTTAAAATGATCGATACTTTGGAGTTTTCTTTTTCCCAGTAAAACATTATCTGTGGCATACTGTGTTGGTGAGTTCAAGATAAATTCTGAGATTAATTTGGATCCCAATTCTATAAATCTTGCTACAGTAATGTCCTTCTGCCTGGGATTAATACGATGAGTCCACCAGTAGCCAACTTTTCCTTGTAAAAACCTAGTTGCATATCTAATGACATCAGAATTTGGATATCTTCTTATGCTGACGATATATACTCCTTTGTGTACCCTAGCTATGATATCTTGTTTTGGAAGGAGAATGATAAACTTTTAGAAATCTTCGTATTTTCAGGGGGCATTTTTTTTCAAATGATTTTAAAAATAGGCAATGCCAGTTTGCAAAGTGTCATTATTCTTCAATATACATTAATTTGTAGTATACACCCTTTCTTTTTGAAAAATTGAAAATATCCTTCCCCACTGAACGATTTCATCTATAGGAAAGGGAGCACCTTCTTATTTGAGATTTTTCAGAGTAGCATCATCAAAATCTTCTTCCTTAAGAGAGCTATCCAGTTGTTGATCTCTAAAGGAATATTGATTTCTTCCTTTATGAGCAGCTACATAAATAGTGAGCTTGTTTGGCTCACTTTTATCATATAAATCAAATTGAGTGAATATCTCAGTGCCAAGCATGTAAACTGTCATTGTTCCACCATGCTTCACTGTGGTAAAGTGGGAGCCAAAGGAATGAACCTATGGGCTTTGATACTAGAAAGAAGGAGAGAAATGAAGAGGGTTAAAGAAAAGATTCATAGAGGCTTAGAGAAAGCTATTAAAGTGAAGAGGGTTAAAGAGGGATCCATTTATAAAGGTTTTTTTTTTTTGGAAAAATAAAAGAATGGTGGCGAATTTCTCTTCTCCATCTTATGAGTTCTCCTCTATCCCTCACATTTAGTCCAAAAAGCCACAAAATGGTTTTGACTCTTTTTCCCAAGTTCTTCTTTGATTAATTATAAATTAAGGATTAATTACTCTACTACTTAATCCTTTGCTCTCTCTTTTTCCAATTTTTCTTTTTTCTATTCTCTCTTTTACGCCCGTTCTCTACTCCATAATCCTACCTTTTTCCAGCCTTTCTGAACCCCTCTCTACCCTCTACCCCTTTTTGTGCCTAGGCCAAAAGAACATGAAAGTTCATTTTTCTTCGCTTACAAGCACATTAAGAATAAAAGGAATTATTCTAATGACATTTTTCAGAAATTAATATTTGAAGAATGCTTGGATTGTGAACCTCCATTCTAGCAAATTATTTTTGCATTTACACCATAGGAAATATTTTTGAAAAGTGATAGCAACCCATCTATGGATGGAATGCACCTCGTACGCCCTTAATTGTGAAGTCTTAATGTGAATGCTAATTTTCCATAATATTAAAAACCTTAAAGCATGTTGTATAACTGCTTGAAGGATCTTTGATAGGCCTTAATAAAATTTTTCACTCATCCTCTGGATTCTCTGGATGGAATAACAGACAGCTATATAAGATTTGTCCATTCTTTTATGGATGCATCCCCATTTAATCAAATTAATCTGTTTATCATACATAGGCTCACTATATTAATTCTAAAGCTAATAAGAGCAAAGGCTATGGTCGGCATAATCTGCATAATAACCCCTATCAACCAAACCTGCTTGCGGGGCTATTCCGCGATTCATACATGTCCATTTTGATATTGGATTAGCATAATATAAGGTAGAACTTAATTTAGTTCTCTTCTGATGGATCATTGGTAACCTTCAAATGGGGATTTTTTTTTTTAATGTGTGCTAATATCTCAATCTTCTTATTGTTGACTTATTTTTTTTCTGCGGTAGTCTAGTCTTGTATGAGTAAATATCCCAATGTCAAGTTCCATATTTAATTATAAAGATAGGTCTGGATGAGTTGGATCAGTTACCTAATCTGTAATCTTGAACAAAAGTGTCCTGGACAAACATTAATTTATAAAGCCTGATCAGAATAAATATTGGACCCAACAAATCAATGAATCTTATGTATATGTCACCGAAGCCAGCAATAGGTGCAAATATGAGGTAGAGGACTTGATCTTGATATATTTGTCAAGATTGAGGTATGGAAGCACAGGCAGAGAGAAAAAATGACAAAATATCTGTTGAATTTTCAATTTCAAAGAAAACATGAATCTAGTGGCCTCCTATTCCTGTTTGTCCAAATTGGCGTCAATGTTTCATCCTTAAGGCCCATGGCCCATCTCAATACCAAAAGCTATGGTTACATTCAAATCTTCTCTGCCAGCTTATAAAAAAAAAGATTAAAAAAAAAAAGTTAACATCTCACATGATTGATTGAGGTCTGAACTAGCTGATTTTGTTTTTTTATGTTGAATGACAGAATTATCCCTAATTCCTTGACTTACTATCATGTTTCAAATGAAGTTATTGTTGCTGTGCAGGAACTCAACCGTATAGCCGGGTTAGACGAAACGTGCGACTTTGTGAAGGTCAGCCTTTTGTAAATAGACACTTCTTAATTCCATATTGTGAAGACTTCTCTGGCCAAATGGTCTCATGAGTTTGCATTCTTCGTGTTGCAGGCTGATTTTATGAAAATGCCATTCCCTGATGACAATTTTGATGCAATCTATGCAATCGAAGCAACCTGCCATGCAGCTGATGTAGTATGTGCTCACCAAACTGTGTTTGTCGTGGAAATTCCTATCTGCATTTTCTTTGAAGGTTCTTACAATATAATTTTAGTGGGAGTGACTAATTCTCTCATGAAAATCAGGTTGGATGCTATAAAGAGATATGTAGGGTGCTAAAGCCAGGCCAATGTTTTGCTGCATATGAATGGTGTATGACTGATTCTTTCGACCCAAACAATCAAGAACACCAGAAAATCAAGGTACTCTTCCGTTTATGTGTTTCTGTGTGTGCACACTCATGAGAAATGCCAAAATGTTTCTGGTTTTGGTATTGCTCAGAACCAGAATATTTGGTCACACCCAATGCTTCTCTCTTTCAATCCAACTATCAAGAACACCAGAGCTAGGGGATTTTGATCGAATTCAAAGACCCTGTGTGTGTGTGTGTGTGTGTGTGTGAGAGAGAGAGAGAGAGAGAGAGAGAGAGAGAGAGAGAGAGAGAGAGAGAGAGAGAGAGAGAGAGAGAGAGAGAGAGAGAGAGAGA